ATATTCGGAGTCCTAGTGATTTGTAAGAGCAAGATGTGATTTATAGTAATCCGTGTATACTTTGTGGTAACTTCATTAATGCAGGAAGTTTATTTGTGGTTACTCAAGCTTCAGTCATTTAAATCAGATCTGAGTGGCTTTGAACTTTTTACAAGTTAGGAGCAAAATTTCAGCCTTGTTGAAATCAGTAGCAAAGCCACCAAAGCTGTCCCTGGGATGAGATTTGACCTTTAATTTTATAAGGTGTGTCTTATGCGGGTGGAAAAAAAAATCTTCTAATTGCCTGCCTTTTTTTTTCTCCCTTCTTAAGTCTTATGGAGAAAACAAGCTGAAGACCATGGAACTGTGACACCTGATGCTAGCTAACCAGCTGGAGATATGGAAGTTGGAGAGGGCTGCAAGCACTCTGGTCCTGAGATAGTGCCAAATGGATATGCAAACCAGGTTTTCCAAGCAAACATGGAGGAAGGCAGTATGGATGCGTTGGAGATCTGCGGTGATGAGCACTGCACCTCCAGTAGCACAGCCCAGAATGGACAGGAAGAAATGCCCCGGTATAAGAAAAAGGCCAAGGGTAGCCGGATCTGGAATTTTGTTAGTCGAAGGAAAGGTCCCTCCATGAATAACAAAAGACCACAGTCCATGATCCTGCTTGGAGTTACCTCTGAGGCCTCAGAAGAAAAAAAAACAACCTTCATGGACAGGGTGAGGTCCTTGAGAAAGCTCAGAACCTCCAGCATGTCTAAGAATGTAGAGCTGAGAGCCTCCAAAGTTCAGGTTGCTTGTGCCCCTGAGGAGGACCATCATGGCAGCGGCCAAAGAGCAGTCTACAGGGTTAAGAAGCTGGGGGACAATCAGAGGCCTTCCCGCCACTCATACGCAGGGTATATTGATGATTTGGATTCTTCTTTTGAAGATGTAGAGCTGAATATCAGCATTCCTGAAATTGATGCCAATGAAAATAAATGGCTCAGGGATATTAGTGTCAGATTACAGAGCGAAGATAATGATAGTAACTGCCATAAAATACCAGTTAGAAAGAGTGAGTCTTTGAATCTGGAAAACTTTAAGAGTTCTGCAATTACAGAAGGGGACAATCAAAAGAGGTGTATTGTGCTCCCACAGGAGAGCAGAAGAGGGAAAAGCTCTGATGTTTGGAGCTATCTGAAAGGAATTTCATTAACTAGCAAAGATAATTCAAAGCCTCCAGATCAAAGGGTTGAAACCAATTTCCAGAACTTAGAAAGTATAGCTGATAATTCTACTTCTTATTTGGACTTTGATACGAGATGTGAGGAGAGTCTTAGCCAGCGAAAAAAATCACACAGTGCCACCAAAGCCACTCACTTTGGGGGTGTTGTGAGGTTCTTTAACAGTGTTGCTGAGGCAGCTAGGAAGTTGCGAGGGTCTTCAAGGGCATTTTCACCAGATGAGAGAAGGCCTCAGTCCAGTTTCAAAAGCCGGAGGCAGGATGCCACCTGCCACAAAGAGGCCTTGGTGATCGAGAATGAGAACGCGAGGGCTTTCTGCAGCGTGGGAGCATCTCTGCAGTCTCCGGACTCGGGCATCTGGGATAATCAGAGCTCTGAGAGTTCAACGGGGAAGGAGCCTGTGCGGCCTTGCAAAAACCTGGAGGTATCTCAAGAAATTGGCTGCTCTGTGCTGGGCAGCGAGAATGATAGTTTTAATGAAACGTCCCTTTCTCCATTTGGGCCAGAACCACCCATCTCCCCGCTGCCAGAGCTCCCAGATGACTCTTTTACTCAAGACCCCTCTGAGGCTCTGCCACAATTTTCATGCATGACTCTGGCTAAAATAGATACTGAGAGTGTGGACTGTGCTCTAGAGGATACCAAAGACATGGGTTGCTCTCCAGCAGAGGCTCGGGATCTTTCAAAGACAGACTTGGATATGCAGGACCTAAGGAATACTGAGTTATATCTGAAGGACTTGTCTGCGAATGAACTGGAGGTTGAAGATACAAGCAGTACTCTACAGGAGACACAAGACTTGGGCAGGAAGCTGTCATGTTCTCAAGATCTTTCTGTGAATAATCTGGGTGCTGAGGACCTGGGCAGCTCTCCAGCTGCTCGCCATGACTTTTCTGCAGTGATTTCTTTAAAATGTGCAACAGTTAAAGAACAAGTTTTAGAGCAGACTGATTACCCTGTCAAAAAGCATGGAACAAGTTCACCTGTGGAACTAAGTTCTGAAGAGCTCCCTGACGGCGAGGATGACTTTAACTGCAATGAAACGCGCCGCCCGTTCCAAATGAACGTCTGCACAATTGTCTCCTTTGGCAAGCTCAACAATGGGAAGGTATGAGTAATCTCCACTGTTATGCTAGCAATAAGACCATGCTTTTATTGTATGGTATTTCTTGTGAAGGTGTTTTTCACTTGAAAGTATTTTCACATGTATCTCATTGGGATTTTCAGTTAATTAGACTGTCACATGAACGATGGCAGTAGACACACAGGTTTTGTATCGGACCAAGAGGAGCCTTTTAGCTGGTATATTCCTGAGCTGCTAACATAAACCATAAGAGCTGCTCCTGCTCTGATCGTTTGTCTGTGTCGTTTATAACAAGGCACCCAGAAGAGAGCTGTAGCAGAACTTTATTTCCAGGCACTGTCTTTATTTTTGCTTTGCCTTCTGTATTTAGTTCATTTGAAGCAGAAAATGGAACAAAAGCCCTTTTGGCAAGTTCGTAATTCTAAAGCATGCAGTGGATAAACAGCATTGAGAGCTATCGCTGTGGCCCTTGTGCCCTCAGGTACCTAGGAAAGCAGCAGTGCTAGTGGCCATAGTTGATTTATTAAGTGGGGCTTGTTATCCCACAGCACCTAGGATCATGGTCATGTGTCAGGGTCCTGACATGTAGTACAAGAAAAGAAAGATACTCCATGTCTTGTAGAGCTAATCAGTTCGTTTCTCTGGGACATTGGAGTAAGCCCTCTCCATCCTCTAAGACTGTCAGTAGCTGTGTGGCCTCATTAGGTTGGTGTTGAGCTTGTGACAGAAAGCCTTGGTATATGGCGTGACCAAAATGCCTTGCTCACACGAGTGGTGCTGGCTGAGGTCTGGTCAGAGCTGCCTTGCATCTGTCTGCGCAAAATTCCATCACCTTCAAGGTAGCTAAATACACAGCCGTAACTGAAAGGTGGGTAATGGTGGTTGCTTAATCCATTCAATCCCATTGAAAATTGTGATTCTAAGAACTGCAGTGTGTTCCTGCTGTGCATTCCTTAAAGCAAGCCTTCTAAAGCCCTTAAAATTGCCAAAACCTTAAGTTGGCATTGCGTTTTGGGTGAGTTTCTAGATCTTATAAATGCGTATTGTCCAGCTCGTAGCACTACGAAAGCTCAGAAGTCACGTGGATGAGAAAGACAGATGTGTGAGATGAGCAAAGGTCTCCTGAAACCAGTAGTCTCCCTGCTGTTAACTCTGAGCCCGTCAAGCATGTACCTCAGGGCAGGAAAGGGGGAGCGGTGGCAGTCGTATGAGCTTACTCCTTGTCAGTGGCCAACTTCATTTCTCATGAGGGGGCAATTTTGCTCAGTTCAGTCACCAAACGGTCTGGTGAAGCTCAGGTCACTCTGTGTCACTTGTAGAAGCAGTACTGGTGTGTGGACAAACCATGGTAGGAAGAAGCTTGAAGCCCAGCTGTTCTCTCCTGTATCCTGCTGGTTAGCAGAGGCTTGGACGGTGACCTCCTTTCCTATTTTTTTGAGGTGCCAGGTAGGGAAATCGGGTCAAGTCATGGAGAAACTTTCTCCTTCCATTTTGGGCTTGGAAAGCCTGGAGATGTTGCAGAGGTGATGACATTGTTCCCTGTTGGGAAAGGGGTTGTGGTAACTTCTGAGCCAAGAGGGGAAGTGTTTGAAAATTGGCAGCAGATTAGAAATACTGAGGGGAAAATAGTCTGAACTTGTGACTCTTGGCTAAACTGGGCAGCACCATTGTTAGTTATTCCTGGATTTGTTTTATTTTTTTTCCTCCGTTTTGAGTGATATAACAAAATAATGAGAGCTCATGGTGTAGCTGCATGCGCTTATGAAGCAGGGTGAATGGTGGTTGCACCCTTCTTGTGGCCTCTGAGCAGCAGTGTTTTTAGGATGGGTTTGAATGAGGATGGCATCTCATGTTGTCCTTAACAGGGACCAGCCTGAAAAACATCTGGGCAGGAGCGAGGTAACGTAGGCATGAGAGCATCAAGCAAAGCAGGGCAGATAGGGTCAGGAAGCCTCCCCGACATTCCAGGCTGAGTGCAACAGGAGAATTGGGAGTGACTGGTGGTCTAGGAGAGGTGAGCCTGGAGCAGCAGCAGGTCAGGAGAGAGAAGGAGGAGCAGGAACAGTGACCAGTGAGCCTGGCAGTGGCACTAGCTGCGAGCTCGGGGGCTCCTGCTGTTTTGGGTAAATCCAGCTCTTTGCTGGCCTCTGCTCCCCAGGACACCGGTCACTGCTCTCTGCCTGCACTTTCAGGCTGCCGTTCATGGATCAGAGGATTTGCCCTCAACAGCAAGTGGGGGGAAGATGCTGCCGGGCTGGGGTGGCTTGACTGGGTAAACTGCTGTAAGCAAATGGTCCAGCAGCTTCCAGATGTACCTGCAGAGCAGAAATAGCCCCTGCAGGTGTTTTTTTTTAAGACAACCAATGCAGTCTTCCACAGAGAGGGCAAAGGCCCTGCTTCTCACACGGGCTGCCTGACCCAGCCTGGCAGGAGATAGTGTATGAGGAGGAGGACGGGGGAGTGCAATGATGGAATCTTGATTTGGCTGCACTCTTTTTCAGTTAATACTGCTGTTTCTTGCTTTAGCAACCTCCTCCTTAAAATTATCATTTTAAATTGTAAATTAATTATAAAATTATAAGGTCTTTGAGGCAGGTACTATTATGGGCAAGTAACCACTCAGTAGGATTCTAGCAGTGATGAGGGTGTAGGAAGTGGAAAGACACCTAGTTCTTCATCAGGGGAGACCCCTTGCTTAGTCGGGGAGGCAGCTGGGCTACCACAGAGGCTGGTATGTGGTTGGCACGTTCCCATTGGGGTTTCAAACCACCTGGCTTGCTGCTGGACAGGGAGGATGCGCAAGGGTTTTGATGCTTCCCCTTGGAATGACCTGAGGAAAAGCTGCACTATTGGGATGTGCTTCCTATTTCGGGTGTTGGCTTAGGGTTTTAAGGATGCAGAAGAGTGTTTTAGGCTTAGTGCTGGCAGAGGGGCTTTTCCCTGCCCTTCTCTGGGGCTGTGCCCATGGGCTGCTCCCTCGCAGGTTTGGCTCCTCTTGCTCCTGCAGAGCGATCTTCACTGCAGTCTGTCTGTGCCCTCTGCTGGCTACTTGTGAAACGAAGGATCTGCTTTTAAAGAGCAAAAGAAATCTCTGCTGAAAGGATTTTGAGATTTTTCTCCAAAATGCTTAAAGGCTGTGTCTGACTGCAAGCTTTTGTGGTCCGATGTAGAAGAGCTGTTTTTAGGATGATTTTTTTGGGGGGGAATATGGCTGTCTGAAGGGTGAAAATCAGGTTTTGATGGATGCGGTCACCTAGGGGGAAAGGTGTCCCCTGTAGCATCTGGTGCCAGCCCCTCCGCTGGATGCCCAGAGCTTTGCAGGCGGTTTGATGTCAGGGCCCTGGAAGCCCATGCATGGAGCTCTCTGGTTGAACTTGCTGCTGAGCGTCGCAGCAGGCCATGGGTGGCTGTTTCCCACCCGCAGTGTTGTACCGACACGGTTCCTCCGTGTCCCGTAAGGCTGAAGGTGCAGAAACTCGTGTCCCCTTGGTGTTGCTCGCTGTCACATACGCAGCCAACCTGCCCACGCGCCGTGAAGGCGCCCGTGTTGCTGCCACCAGCGATGCTTTCATCATAGTGTTGGCTCAGTGCATTTCTGAGCAGTAGCTGCCCCTGCTTTGCTGCCTGGGGGGAAAGTCCTGGGGCAGTGGGTTGCTCCCAGTGGGAGCACGTGGAGCTGGGATGGCGGGTTTGCCCAAACACGTGGCAGGGCGCGTGTGCAGGGCCGTGCTCCGATAGCCAGAGCGTCCCGCACGAGCACAGCCCACCTCAGCTTCTCCCACCAGTGCAGAGGTTTTCTAGCCATTGCCTCGTTCCCAGGGGGAACGTGTAGCTACTATATTTATTCTGTGCTTGACAGGGCATTGCCAGCAATGATGCTACCTGAGAAATGTGTGTTTCCCAGAGTTGATCATCACAGCTCACTTTTTCTTGTCCTTTTTTTTTGCCAAGAGGCTGGGTTGTCTCCCAGCCTGCTGCTGGTAGTTCTGCCTATAAAAGCCTTCACAGTCCTTTCCCAGTAAGAAATAGTACTTTACTTTCTAAATCCTGCTGTTGCCAAAGGAGCAGTATATTCTAGCCTGTAGTGAGGCATGATTTAGCTGCAGAATGAAGAGCCTGTGTATTTATGGCCTTTAATGTGGTTATGCCTGACAATCATCTTATTTTTAAAAGAGACAAAACCTTTAAAGCCTAACTCCAAGCTGCTCAGGTTTTTCATATTTTTAATAACCACAGCATGCAGGCAAAATCTTGAATTAAAGCCTATATTTAGTGCTATGTAGAGTGGCAGCTTTTTTTAGCATATTTTTAGCATCGTCAGTGAAAGGCAGGTTGAGCCTGCAAAGCTGATAGGCTTTACGTGCATATATATATATCCATTTTATTTATATATGTATGTATAAAATCACCCACTGAACACATGGATAATTCAGATTTCCACATGTTTTCCTAAAATATGTGTTGGGTCCTGCTTTCACCTAGCTCCCTGCCTCAGACCAGTCTTTCTCCTACCACCGTTGGTGTTGTGAGTGGGGACTGCTGGGCGTTATGGGTTTGTGTGATAGAGGGATCGTGGGTCAAAACCTTTTCTGGCGGGAAAATGGCCTTCGTTCTTTACCTCCCTGCTGCTGTGTGAGCAAGAGAAGCTCCTGGTTGAGTGGATACAGGGCCTGTGCTGGGACTTGGGCATGAGAGATCAAGCCAAGGTTGACCCATAGGCTTGCACTGCGTCTTTGGGTAGTTCTAGCTTCTCTGTTTCCCTCAGATGTAGCCAGGGTACTTTGCTGCTTCCCAGGTGCCTCGGTTGCAAAGATCTCAAGTAGTTTCAAGTAGTATTTTCCAGGCTCATGGTATAGCGATGGTAGCAGTTGCTGCTAGCCAGCTTCCAGGGAAACCACCATGATAACTTCCACATTTCATTGTGAATCCTTTTTGGGGAAAAAAGGAATAATTTTCCTGGGGGGGGGGCGGGGAGGAACATGCACAAAAAAAACCCCAAACAAACAAAAAAGAATAGGCTTTTTCCAAGTACTGGAAATTGGTCCCAGTTATACTTTGAAATGATGTAATTTATCCTGTTCTTACATTTGAACCCTTTGCAACCTGGTCAGGATTGAGTCTGGAGACGAGATACACTATCATCATCGGAAAGAGTACAAACTGTTGGTACTGTGCAAGGCATAAGGATAAAACATTGTTGGGAGGAGTGTTGACAGTGACACCATGAAGGAGGGGTCCAGAAGAAGGTGCGCGGCAACCCTGTCAAGCTGGAGTGCCCGGCTGGGTGTGTGCGCCTGTGTCAGGCCCTCTGGGACCTTGTTCCAGCCCAAGTGGTGTCGCTCTCCAGAGCAAGTGGTAGAAGCACTAGGCAATATAGTTAGTCCTTATTCTTCTACCTGAGCACCCCAGACCATTGGTCAGGCCAGACAGATGGTCAAAGCAGTACCTATTTGGAGCTAACCTTTTAGCGACGATAACAAGGCCTTGGAACTGTTTTCATGAGCAGGAAATGCTCCCCGAGAGTCATCTGCTGCTCAGCTAACAACAAAGATTTGAGGTAAAGACCTAGAAAATCCAGCAGCACAGTATTAATAGCAATGCTGTTATTATGATTATTTGCCTCCTGTCCACTTCAAAGACCATCTGTGGGCTTCTGTTTGTGGAATTGGATGAGGCCTTACATGACCTCTGGAAATGCCTGGAAGGGTGTGTTTCGTTAAGATTTTGGGAAACAAGGCAAATGACATCCTGTTACTAATTTATTTCACTTTTACATAGATGTTGTTATCAGCAAGACTTCAGTCAGTTTTGCAGGAATTGTTCTTGGTGGATTTATTCTAAAACCTAGTAACTTTTATTTCTCTGCTAAAATGCTGGGCAGGCAGAAAGACAAGCAGATCATTCTCCTGAACGGCACCATCAGCAGAGATGTTGCAAACTCGTTGTGCTGCTCCATGACTGTCCTTCAAAGCTTGCTGTGCCGCGCTGTGACTGTGTCCTTTAAATGCTACACCTGCATCTCCAAAATCCTTTTTGTCACATTTTCTATTGTTTTAGTAATCTGTCTCTTCAGCACAGCCTCAGGAGGTGGCCAACGGTGATGGCCATCAGCCACCTGAAGAAAAGAGTGGAGATGAATGGCCTGCCCTTGTCCGTAGTCCAGCAAAGGGTGCACAAGCCATGCCCTGCTTGGCTGTGGAGGCTACAAATCCCAACCCAAGTCCCCCAGCATGGGACTCTGTGGCAGTGGGTGTAGACAAATTGCTGTCCAGAACAGAGACATCATCTTCAGTTGGTGCTCCCAAAAGTGCCTTGGAAGATAAGTGCTACTGAAAGGTGCTAGGAGGAACCTGGAAAGTACTTGAGGAACATGGAAAGTGCTACCCTGAAGCTGTGCTGAAGCTAGTGAGCTCTGTAAAATGGGAGCTAGAGCAGCCTGATACACTTATTTTTCTGCCCCCCCCAAAATAAGGGCAGGGGATGGTGAGAACTAAACAAGGACATCTCAGGTGTATTACAGTGCCTTGAAAAAAAATATTAAATATGCTGTGATTGTTTTGTCAAAGATTTGACAAATATTGATAATATTCTTCTCCAACCCTTTTTCTTGCCAGCCTCTGTCTCATCCTCTTCATCCATCCCCACAAGCGCCTCCCTTCAAAATCCTGCTGGAGAGATGTCGCTCCTTACCCCTGTCGCAGAGCACCCCGATGGGGCTGGACCAGCTGGGCTGGAGGCGGCGGCTCTTGCTGAGCACGGGCGGTGAGTAGCTGGGGTGTTGTACTCACACATGCACCTTTCCATCCCACGTGTCCTGCGGAGCAAGGCAAGGGCAAGAGCAGGTTCAGAAGTCAGACATGGCTTGGGTTTGCATCCACATTTACTATCGTCTCCATGTTGAGATCTGAGATGCTGAGACTATCCCAAACTTGCCACTTGGGATGGTGGTGGATGCTCTCAATGAGCTCACGTCGCAGCTCAGGTCTGACATCTTTTTGGAAGTACAGGGCAGCAGAAGAAAGCTCACATGTTCCTTGAGTGCTCTTGAGCAGAGTGTCACAAACCAAGCTCTGCAATGAGCTTTCTCCTGGAGAACCTGATTACGGTAACTGTAGTTTGTCCTGCTCAAAGTGACACTAGAGGAGAGCTCTGCAGGATGCGTTTGCTGGCAGCGTGTTGGGTTGGCATGCATACAGGCTGATGGCAGAGTAGGTGACATCACTTTTGAACCTCTAATTAAAAACGATTGATAATGAGAGTGAGGAAATTTTATTTCCTGAAGGACACCTGCTGTCACCAAGAATCCCGTGACTTGGCAGCACATGGGCCTGGAACTGCTGCCAGGCTGTGCTGGCGTCGCCAAGCGTGCCAGGAGCCCAAAGAGTTAACGTGTGGCAGTGGCACATCAGGAGTGAGCTGCAGCGGGGAGGAAGAGGAGAAGCAGCTGCCTCCATCCCTGGTGGCTCTAGGGGGGCACATGTTTGCAGCACGCGGGGAGCAGCGTGTGCATCGCTAAAAAACGTGAGCCTTGCTGCGTCTGCACGTTGCTCGCGAGTGCTGCTCTGCGGGCGCGCTGCTGCCGGAGCCGCTGCCCGCCTCTCGCTGTGTTCGGCGCTCGCGCTGCAGCTTGATTTTCTCCAAGGCTGGGAAGTGAAACGTGTGCCGCTAAAAATAGCGGCAGGCCGCCTACGTCAGCATCGCGTTTAGGAAACGGGGCTCCGTGCAATCTCCCTCCCGGCAACGCTGGCAGAGAGGCAGGATTGCTGCCCTGCCGGGCTGTGCCGGGGGCCCGGAGCGGGACCTCGGCCCTGGTGCTGTCCCGGGCAGAGCTGAGCCCCTGTGTTCGGGATCGGGGAGCAGCACTAGGCTCATGGCTGTGAATTTAATAAATAGCCTGTTTCTGTGAGACGGAGCGATGTTCCGTATCCTGACTTGCCTGATTGCAAAGCGCTCCGGGGACCTCAGCGGTGTGGCACAGGACAGCCTATAGAAAACATAGGGGGTCAAGAATGAGAGGGTTTTCATTTGCTTCTGCTGCTGGCGAGGGACAGTCTTTCAGCCCTGTCCACCAGGAGAGAGCCTGCTAGCCCAGCACAGGGCAAAACACCCTGTGTCACCTGGAATGACAGCGTCACCCAAAAGAGTGGGACAACGCAGGAAGCTGAGAAATTGGTTTGAGAGGAGAGCTTAGTTTTGCCAGGTAGTGCAAGTCCTCCTTCACTGTGTGCCACCTCCTCCTCCCCACAAGTGGGGTTGGGGTGTCCCCTTCAAAGGGCTGAGCTGCGATGTGGGGCGAGTGGCACAACTTGCTTAAAACGGGACTGGAATCGCATCTGCGAGCAGCTGGCCTGCAGTGCTCCAGATGAGAAAGCTCCACCAGTTTCTTTGAAAACGATATTTTTATGGACATTTCTGATATTCTGATATTCTATATATATTTTTTCCTGCATAAATTGGAGGAGCAGCTTGCAGACCCCAGTGGCTGTGAAGCTGGGATCGCTGCTGCTCCCAGGCTGCAGAAGTGCCCTGAGCAGTCCTGGCCCAAGGAGCTGTCCCAAATTATACTGAAGTGCTGCCTGCTGTTTCGGGGGGAGCCTGCGCCCTCAGCCCTACCTGCCTACACTGCCTCTGAATCTGGCTCCTTAATTGTGCCTGCCTTTCTCTAGCTTGCAAGCTGCGCTATTTTTCCTGCATCCCAGGAGCATCGAATAAAGCCCCTAAATATACTCCCCGCTCTTTCTTTTTCTCCTAAAGATGTTGAATGAGCCTCTTGCAAACAGTTTTGTTTCCTTCGTCTAAAAGAACAGCCTCCGCCCCCAGCCTGAGCTAAAGCACAGCATTTATCTTTTGTCATTCCTCTCTCTCTTTTATTTTTTTATTTTTTTATTTTTTTTCCTGTGGATTTTCTCCTGGCAGCTGGGAACGACCTGGGTTCAAAGACGCTGGAGGTGCGCAGGGACTGCAGGAACGGCCGGTTGGAGGCCCCGGAAGCCTGGAGCTGAGCAGCTGCTGGTGGATAAAGTAAGGCGCCGTCTGGGCTGTCCTCTCCCCGCCGTGGGGCTGGCGGTTCCCTCCCGCGCGTTTAGCCTCGGAAACTGGCAGCTTGCTCCAGGGAGAGCTTCCCCGCTCCCGTCAGCCACCCGTGGGGATGTGCTTGGTTATGGCATTAAACAAGGGGAGCATTAAGCTTTTCCCACCAAAATAGTTCCCCTCTGTATTTTGGAGGATTTTGGGACCAACAGTGGTATTGGGTCTCTCTCTCTCCGTTGGCCAAGTGCTTTCTGCGCCTGGAGCATGCTGTAATGTTTCCAGTCACCTGTAGATTCAGTCCACAATCTTGATGTGTGTGTGTGGTTTTTTTTTTTTTTTCCTTGCTTTTTAACCTTTGGATTTGGTTCTGTCACCATGTCATCTCAGTGACATGTTTATGTCCCCCCCACTTTCCCCAGGCATTTTGCTAGTAGAGATGCAATCCCAGAGGGTTTGGGGGATGATGTTCTCTGTGGGGGAGGTAAACACAGATGGGGAACTGGGGATGTCCCTGCCTTTCTGGGAAGCACAAAAATGTGGTAACAGTGGAAAAAATCTCATGCTGTGTCTGATGCGCCCGCTTGTTTGTGCATGGGGATGTTACTCATCCATGCAAGGTGTTGCACCCAACCTCTGGGTGTTTGGTCTTCCCTGGAAGATGCAGTAAGTTGGCCATGAATGTCACAGTTTTAGTGGTCTGAGATATGAGCTAGAGGGAGCTGGATTTTCTCTTTTCCCTTGCGTCCTACCCTGCTTGCAGGGGTTTGCAGGTTCCCCCTCTACGTCGATATGAGGCACCAGTTGCTGCTTTTGACTTGGAAAGGCCATTCTGGTTACAGGGGTGCAGAACATCTTGACTTTTAGCTTGTCATGTCATCCCGTACCAGTAACGTCCCGTACCAGTAGAGTTATTTGTGCTGTGGGGCAGAATAAAGGCAGACAAATATAATATTCCTGTCATTCTTATGGAATTGAACTGTCCTGCTGTAGAGTGTGTAAGCCCTACCTAGGAATATGGTCAGTCGTGTTGTATCTCATAAAACATTACTGTATTCAGCAGCTTATGCTGACTGATGCATGGCTGTGTTGGGGCCAGTTTAATAAATCAAATAATCTGTTAAGAGGAACCGTACGTTTTGCAGCGTTGGTAGCCATCCCTCAGGCCCCTCTCTGAAGCAGAGGTGCTCTTGTGTTGTGGCACAGTCCTGCTGCTGAAAGCGTGAGAAACAAGGTGGCCCCTGCTCCGAGTCACCCGAATGCACAGGCCTACTTCTGACTGAGCCTGGAGACTGGGAATTGGAGCAACCTTCCAAAGGCAGGTGAAAATTAAAGCTCCAGTGAACTAAAAATACTGCTGGAGTTGGGGAATAGGCAGGTGTGAAACTAGTGCCAGGGTTTATAAATCAGAAACACTGTGTTTACCCTGCTCTCGCAGGTCTTTATAAATGTGACCAGCAACAGCAGAGCTCAAAAATTCATTTGTCACCTCTGCTCCAAGCTGAGTGAAGATCTATGGGTCTGTAAATCACCTTGTTGCCCGAAGGGAAATTCTTCTTTGAGGAGATTTATAAAGTCGAGTAAAGATTTGTGGGCTCAGGTATTTCCTGTCAAATCTGTTCATGGGCAGTTGAAGACCAGTCAAGTGGCTGGATCTAGTACAGAAAGGAGTGGTTTACTCTTCCAAACCAGAGGCAAGGCTCCTTGAGAAGCTGCAACTGGTTTTGATCCCGAGTGTGCACATGTGAGGTGGAGACAGAGCAAGAAGCTGCTGGTGAAGCATCGGTCAAGACCATAAAATGTCTCATCTGGTGACCAGGTCGATCACTCTGTGAATGGCCCTGTCTTCATGTCTCTGCCTAGGCCGTGGGGATGGCTGCTCTGAGGGGCCAGGTCATCTCGCTTTGTGGTACTTCTCCATTGTGCCTCAAGGCAGGAAAAGAGCAGGAAGATACAATTGGAGAAGAAAATGGTGACAGCAGGAGAGAAGGGCAAGCAGCTCATCCTGTACTCAGCTCATCCTGTTCCCAGTGTCCACACACCTTCTGGTATCTTCTTTCTTCATGCCCATGGCTCGTGTCTCATCTCTTCTCCATCACGCCCAAGCTGTCCTAACAAATGAGTATCTGCAGGTCTGAACACAGGTTCAGCGGGCTGGGAAACTTTGTCATCCCATTTCTAGGTGGGGATGAGTAAACTGAAGCCCCAGAGGGTGGTACATGCAGAGCCATGTGGGAATTCTTGTTCTCTCCTAATTTCAACGTGCAGCAGTGGAGAGAGCAGTGAAGGGAAGGTGGATTTGGGTTGTCTTGCTCCTCCTGCGTTGCGCTGAGTAGGGATGCTGCTTGGTATTCTGTACCAGCTGGCCTGCTTTCTATTTTTATCTCCCAGCGTAATGCTGAGTGCGCACTTTATTTGGTGGGGTTGGGTTTTTTTCCCTGCTTGAAATGTGTCCTGCACCATGTTCCTCTAGCCTTGCTGCTTGGAGGAGGAAGGAGGTGTGGAAGGGGTTGTAGACTGCTGCATTCTGATACGTGAGCTGGATTTAATCGAAGTGATATATTTAGTTAGCTAGTTGTTAGCTCTTCTGTCCGTACGAATACGCTCACAGAAAAGCACAGTCCTGTGGCTTTGTTTGTGCTAATTAGTCTAAATATCAGCGCGTTGGTGACCAGGGGTTTATATATATACACATGGATGACTGCCAAGACAACACATCCTCTCCTAGTCTCTCATCCTTCACTTCAAACCTTCAGTACTTCTCCTGCCAGGTTATGTCTGATACGTATATTTTTTTGGGTTTGTTTTATACCCTAATAAGCATTGTGCTGTGCTACTTAATAGTACTCTGAAATCCTTTAATGTATTTTTTTCCATTATTTTCCTCCTCGAAGCCACTCTAGGTGTTATAAACACATTTCTTCCAAGTTCTGACGACCTCTGGCTGTCTGTGCAGTATTGTAAGAAAAAAACCTGGCTCATTGAAGGAGAAACCAGCAGCTTAAGCCCAAGCTGACAGCCCCTGAGGTACCTGCCTTGGAGCCTCGTGACCTCCAAGTGGCGTCACGCGCTGCCCGTGCGGCTGCCTGAGCTGTGCTCAGCCCAATTAGTGGGGCCCACAGCAGCGGGCAGCCTCTCTGGCACCTGAGGTTTGATGCATCTGCTCCGATTTAGCTTATGAACTGGTCAGAGCATGAAGAACATTGAATGAAAGTGCATAGTCTACTGTGAACTCCAGGTCATCCGTAAAGCTGTTTGCATCTGTTTCGTGTGAATGGCTCGTGCTTTGAACTGGCTCCCTGGTGACTGGGATATGAATGTAAGTGCAAAATAGGTTTTAAGATTGCTAGTACTAAGAATAAGAACTTGTGAACTTAGCATGGTTGGGCTGTTTTGTTTTGCTTAGGAATAACATGCAAGAGTGCTGTGTTTCTGTGCAGAGCAGAGCTGGTCTCGGGCGTGAGCCTTGGTTGGTGTCACATCCATGTGATGGTGGGAAGGAGCACGACTCCTTACTGGAATGAGAGCCTTCAAGTGACAAAACAACAAGCTTTGTGTTGTGGGTTTCAGCTCTGGATAGCAAAACAGAGATTTGGGGCTCCCTCTTTTGAAGAGATTCTCAGAGGTTATATGTAAGTTTATATTAAGAAAAATTTTGGCTTCCAATTGAAGGTCTTTGCAGTGTAATTGAACCTTAGCGGGTCTTCTGTGCCCCTGCGGGTGGTGGCTGCTGCACCCCACATATCGCTGAAGCTAGATGATGGTGACTGTGCATAATCAGCCCTTCTACACATCAATTTAAGCTCTCTGTCCTCATCCTCTGTCAGTGAAGAAAGGACCCTTTGCCTATGGCTCAGGAGTTCCACCTTGATTGTTTTGCTCCAACTCATTATTCAGCTCTGTCCGTAGGTTTCACTTGGGGATACAGTTTATACAAAAGAGACTTTAATGTAACCTCAATTTGTGTTGCATTGCTAAAACCTTAATGGCAATTTGCTTGGCAGCAGTGTATACCCGGTGTGGCTTGGCCTTCCCCAGCGCACTATGTTCTCAGTAAACAAGAGTCTGTGTTAGGTGTAGCATGAAAAATCTCTGAGTAAATATTGGAACAACTGCTTTTGTAGTGCTTCCTAAGCTGTGTCTGCATTTGTAATTCAGGGCTACTGCACTGTCACAAGTATTTAGCTGAATAAGAGCTAAATTTGGGAGGGAAAGGTGAAAGCAGAGGTCATAGCCTGAAAATCTCTTCTGTAGTTACTGAGATGTGATTCTGAGATGCATCTTCCATGCAAAAATGCTGCATTTGGGTGTGTGAGGACATCTTGGCTCTGAGGAATAAACCCTTCAAGGGGTAGAAGGGAAGTCTTCTGAGAGTGGAGATCTTCAACATGTACCATCAAACTGATGTGGCCAAGGGCGATTCCCCTTCAGCCCTTGCAATAGGGGGCTGCACTGTGGAAGTGGGAGGACTGATGTCCAACCCCATGTTGTTGTGAGCTCTCCAGTTCAGCACTGAGTCCGGAGTGGTTGGTTTGCATCTATTGGACCCCCTGGAAAGAAGATCTCTGGCCATCCCCTCTAGTCCTTCCCATGTCTCCTTCAGTCTCATTGCAGTCTTGTGATTTGGGGGGATACATGCAGAAGCAAAATTATAGTGCACCTGGCCACAGTGTAATGGTGCTTTGGTTGGCATGTGACCATGGGGGCTTGTAGGTGAGGTTTGGTTGCTTTGGGTGACTTTTGCTCTGCATTTTGTAACCCAGAAGCTAAAGGAGAGCTTAGGTAACACATTGCCCCAGTCATTACTAAAGGTAGGAATAAATGATCTATTTTCCCTGGTTTTGTTTGTGATGCTTTTATACTTGAACTGAACTTGGGACATTAGCCAAACACTGCACTTGTATTTGCAGAATGAGGAATATGAAATTAACAGGATGAGAAGTTGCAAATGGAACTTGGGTTTTATATCAGTGAAATCATGTGGCCTA